CTACAGAATACTTTTAGATCTTGAATGAACCTCCACCTGCTTAGCACCCACTTCCCACATAGGCCCTGTCGATCTGGGTAACCCTAGTGCCAGGTCGCAGTTCCTTCCTGTATCTGATGGGTTACAAGTGAATCTTGTGAAAAAACAGAGACGCTTACAGTTTTTAACAAGGGATCAGGAAGGTGTTAAGGACAGTTTTTCAATTTGCTTAGATCACACAGTGCATTGTTATATTTATGGATCAATGAAAAGCAAAGCTGAAAGATATAAATTTACAGTATTAAAAAAAAAAAAAGAAACCAAAGGGGCCGGCCCGGTGGCGCACTGCTACAGTGCACCGCTTGGGAGTGCGGCGGCGCTCCTGCTGAGGGTTCGGATCCCACATACAGACCGGTTCCCGCTCACTGGCTGAGCGAGGGGCGGGCGCAGCACCGAGGGTTGCGATCCCGTTGCCAGTCCCAGTCCGGTACGGGCGCGACACTGAGGGTTGCGGTCCGTTGCCGGACATGAAAAAAGGAAAAAAAAAACCAAAGAGATGTGCCTGACAACCAATAAGAGAGCTTTTAGGATGACTTCTCAATTGGTTTTTAAATCACTTTTAAAAATACATTGTTTAGTTTTAATTTAAAATCTATGTCATTCTACTGTTAGAGACTATCCATTCATTTTAAACTGTACATTTAGCAGGCTACTTACAAAATGTACATTATGACACCTATGCTCCAAATGTCACACTGCTGGCTATAGTCGTGGGCATTGATAACTTCAGGGGCTGACAAATAAAAAGAAATAAAATAATATTAATAATACAATAAATGACTTTTAAATGCTGAAACTCAAAGCATGAAAAATATGCTGATGTGTTGTAATTTATTCCCCCATAGGGAAAAAAAGAACCAACAGCAGATGTTAAATGAATAATGTACAGGCCTTAACAACTGATGTCCCTGCATCCTCACTCCTATCATTTAGTTTCTCATGGAACAATGGCATAACTGTATCACTAAATGTACTACTCTTTATTCCTTTGAAATTGTTAAGAAATGATTTTGCAAAGATTGTGTAGTTATAGTACAAAACAATAATATCTCAGTCCTTTCCCCAAAATAGAATTGAATACATGCCTTAAGAGGATGTAATTTAAAGTAAGCCCAATATGTGGAAATCTGAATTCACAGAAAAACGAAGATAAATGGTTATAAATCACTTTAGTAAAAGAATAATAATAACAACATCACAGCACTCCTATGACAAAATATGAATTATTTTCCACATTTTCAAATGAGAAAACCAAGATAAAGAGAGAGCTCCTACAAGACTGGATCAAAAAACCAATCAGTCATAGGATACAGACTAGGATCCAGGTATTTGTGACTCCCAACTCTGTGCTCCTTGCTTTACAAAGAGTTTCCTTGCTCCTTGTTCACAATGAGGTTCCTTTAAATATCTTTCTCAAAGTAGCACCAATTTTTTTTTTCTTTAAAGTAGTACATTTTTAACAATTAGATTTTCTTGTAATGGCTGCCTTTTAAAAAAGTCACATATGGTATTTCATGAACATGTCTATTGTACCTCTACAGCTAGGGATCAGATATCTTTCTTTAAAGAAAAAAAAAATAGTTATAAATGTAAAAACAAAATATATGTATTTATTTCAATAGAACTTTAAAATTTACCAAGTATTTTTGTATAAATTGTTACTTGTGTAAATTATGCTACGAATTCTGTGAGATGAGCATGCAGGCACTGGACTCCCTTTGCCAACGAAGAAACTAAGGTTCAGACATATTAAGTGACTTTTCTAAAGTTAACAGCTACAGAGTGCCTCCCACAAAAAAGGTACGTTTTTACTTTAGAAAATGGTTTCAATGTCCCTTACCTACAAACCTATACACACACACCCCATACACACCTTTTATAATAACTCCTAAAAGCAAATGGAATTCAATTTCCTCTGCCTATCATTAAAGGAACGAAAAAGCAACAGAAAGGATTCAAAAGGTAAACAGAAGAAAGAATGAGAAAAAGCTAAGCTATACATAACAAACTGAGTTATTTGTCTCCAAATAATTGAAAATTTACTAATAAATATTTTCCTTTAAGCAACTGCTTGTATTCTTTAACTCTACTTAAAATCTTTAAATATTGGATCACTAAAGTTCAAGTTGTTCTGTGGCTGTGTGTCTATGACAAAGGCAAATTCTGTGATTAGATTCAATGAAGAATCCCCATATTGATGCATCACACAGCAGGGGCCCAGGTTCCTGGTCTTCACTCTTTCAGAGTCATCTTAATTATCAGGGGCATTTCTAACTTGCACTGTCATCCCAGCCCTCATAAGGAGGCAGAGGCCAGAATAACTGTGCCAATGAGCCATTTAGGAAGTCAGCAAAGCTCCACAAACCATCTGTCTTCTCTCATGTTCTCTCACTTGTTATCAGTGTAGACAACTAATAAGCAGGCATAAAACTCAGGGTGCTTGGATATATTTTCCCCATGTAACTACAGACCAGATGTCTTTTGCCCACAGTGGGATATGAACAGAATCTAAAGTAGCCTTTCCCAAATAAGATAAAACAATTTCAAAACTTTATGTTTCAAGTAGGCAAAAAAGCAATGAACTAGTTATACTCCTTGGCAATAAAAATGAATAAACTACTGATACAACAACATGAATAACTCTCAAAATCATTATGTTGAACAGAACCAAAAGACAGACACAAAAGAGCATATTCTGTATGATGCTATTTATATAAACTTCTAGACAAAACTAAGCTGTAGTGATAGATATATCATCAGGGTTACTGGAATCTGGGTGGGGACCTGACTGAAAGAGACACAAAGGACTTTCTGGGGTGATTGGAATGTTCTATATCTTCATTGAGGTGGTGATTATAAAGTGTATTCATTTGTCAAAACTTGCTGAACTTTACACTTAAAATTTGTGCATTTTGTTGTATATACATTACATTTCTATGAAGTAGTTCTTTTTTTTTTTCTTTTAATCCACTAAAAGTATGAAAAGAATGTGTCAAAGCCTTATCTTGGAGAATGACTTGAATAACTCTCTCTCCTAGAGACCAACAGAAGTAGCAAGCAAAAAAAACTAACGATATGGAAAATTTAAATCACAAAGACATCACCTTTGATTTAATAAGCACACACGCACAGGAATTTTTATGCTCAACAAACCAGATATACATACTTTTTAAATATCCAATGAAACATTTAGAAAAATTGATCATGTGTCCAATCACAAAGAAAATTCCTAAAAGTTGGAAACCTTTGCCTACTACCATGAAGAAAAGCAGACAGAAAAACCAAAAGGCTAGGAAAACTAACACACATTTATTTATTTATTTATTTTTTCCTTTTTGTCTTTTTTCGTGACCGGCAACGGATCGCAACCCTCAGTGTCGCGCCCGTACCGGACCGGGACCGGCAACGGGATCACAACCCACGGTGTTGCTCCCATACCTCGCTCAGCCAGTGAGCGGCCAGTCTGTATGTGGGATCCGAACCCTCGGCGGGAGCGCCGCCACGCTTCCCAAGCGGCGCACTGTAGCAGTGCGCCACCGGGCCGGCCCAACTAACACACATTTAAATGAGCATCAAACACATCCGAACCACCTGGAAAAATTCTAAAAGCACTTCTAAATAATTCATAAAGAAGACTAAAATTAAAATTATAGAGTACTAAGAGATAAATCAAAATTAGAATACTATATTGAAAAAGAAATAGTCAAATATGCAGAGGAAAATATACAGACTTATGTGCATTTACTAGAATATAAGGCAACTGAAAATAAACATTCGACTCAGGAAATTAAAAAATAAAACCAAAATAAAGTAGAAAGAAGGAATTCAGAAAGATAAAAGCAGAAATTAATAAAAAAACAAACCAAATAACATTAGGCATGAGCTGGTTCTTGATAAAGCCCAATAAACTGTCCTAATCACTAACAAATTTGACCAAGAAAAAAATTATTGGTAATATATTATTATAAGAGTTAAAATTGAGCACTACATGCCAGGCACTGTGCTAAGCACTTTCCACATATTTTCTCATTTAACTCTCATGTCTACCTGATAAGAAAGATCTTATTATCATCCTAAAATACTTCCTATCCCCCTCCTTGTTTTATTTTTTTGTCCTCAGCACTTGTTTCTAACATACCAGATATTTTATTTTTTACCTTGTTTAATGTTTATACTACCAGAAAGTTAAGCTCCACAAAGATAAAACATTCTTTTTTTTTTTTTTTTTGTCTTTTTCGTGACCGGTAAGGGGATCGCACCCCTTGGTGCAGTGTCGCCCACACCGCGCTCAGCCAGTGAGCGCACCGGCCATTCCTATATAGGATCCGAACCTGCGGCGGGAGCGTCGCTGCGCTCCCAGCACCGCACTCTCCCGAGTGCACCACGGGGTCGGCCTGGTAAAACATTCTTATGTCTTCTTCACTGTTATATTCCCAATAACTAGAACAGTGTCTGACACAAAGTAGGTCCTCAAAAATTTTTTGATAAATGAGTGACATAATCCTTCTTATACAGATGTAGAAACTGTGCCAAAAGCAGATAGTAAGCACAGAGCTAGAATCCTGAGTTAGCTGGGTGACTTCAGAGTCCATATTGAGGCACTTGTACTTACCCAGCTGTGTCCTGCCCGGCTATGGCTGTTAGGCACTCATGTTAGTCTAATGGGTAAACTCACCCTTTACCCTCACCCAGATGTCATACAGACTCAGGTGCAGCTGCACTCCCGCCTTGTTTCACACTGCGGTTAACACACACTGCTGTAACAATTTTCTATTCTGCTTTTCTCTTGCTGTAATTTTCCACCCTGAGACAGAGTCATAACCACATAAGATCATAAGATCACTTCTCTTGCCCTGTTACAAAAACCCAGAAATGCCATGATATAAAAATAACAGCCCCACTGCATTCGGGGCTCAGCCTTTGCAACTCAAGTCCACTGAGCCAATGCCAGCATATCGATAAACTCTGTTTCCTATTTTAAGCCTTGGTGTTTCCTGCCTCTCCCTGTGAGTTCACAGTAACACACTGTAACAATATTGCTAATACTACATCATATTACCTTCTTAAAAATACATTAGGAATTAATAAGGGGATATAAGCACAGATACACAGGAGAATCTAAAAATTGTAAGCGAATATAATATGCATATTTATGCCAATAAAATTTAAAATCTCAATGAAGTAAACAATTTTCTAGAAAAACATAAATTATCAAAATGATTCAAGAAGATGTAGAAAACTTGAATAATCTAGTATAAATTGAAAATATAATAGAAATTTTATCCACCAAAAGGTAGCAGGACCAAAAAAATTTAAGGGGAAATTTCAAGCTATTAATTAATAGATCATTTCTATTATTTAAAAGGTTCATGAGCATATAAAACATGAAAATTTTTTATTTTTAAAATGAGGCTAGCATAACCCTAACATCAAGAAAGACAAAGGTAGCACAAAGAAAGCAAGCTATAGCCAAAGCTCCTAAATAAAGTGTTGACAAATTGAATACAGCAGTGTATTAAACCAAGTGGGATTTAATACAAAAATGCAAGGATAGTTCAACATTAAAAATCTATTAATGTAATTACTACATTAATAAATTTTAAAAGAAAAAAATGAAGGGTCTTCAAAAAGTTCATAGAAAGATTTGTATTATCTTTCAATTCCATTTTCCCACGAACTTTTTAAAGTGCCCTCTTACATGATCATCATAATAGGCACAGATTTGAATAGACATTTCACCAGAGAAGACATAAAAATGACTAATAAGCACAAGAAAAGATGCTCAACATCATTAATTATTAGAAAAATGTTAATTTAAAATCACTATGAAATATCACTTCATACCTACTAAAATGGTATAATTAAAATAATAGGTTATATCAAGAATTGGCAAGGATGTGAAGAAACCGGAACCCTCACAAATTACTGGTGGGAAGGTAACAGAATTTTGGAAAACAGTTTGGCTGTTTCTTAAAAAGTTAAACATAAACTTAGTATATGACCCAGTAATTTCAGTTGGGTAGTTACCTAAGTAAAATGAAACCACATGTCCTCACCAAGACTTGCACATGAATGTTCATAGCAACATTATTCATAGTAACCCCAAACTGGAAACAATCCACATGTCCATCAGCTGATAAATGGATAAACAAAATGTGGCATATACATACAATGGACAACTCTTCAGCAATACAAAGGAGCAGACTACAGATACATGCTATAAGATCAACGTGCCTCAAAAACATTATGCTAGGGGCTGGCCAGTTAGCTCAGTTGGTTAGAGCATGGTGCTGATAACACCAAGGTCTAAGGTTGGATACCTGTACCAGCCAGCTGCCAAAAACAAACAAATAAGAAATAAAAATAAACAAATAAATAAACATTATGCTAAGTGAAAGTAAGCCAGACATAAAAGACTACATATGATATGATATTATATGATTCCATTTATATTCCAGAAAAGGCAAATCTAGAGAGATCCAAAATAAAAGGCAAATTCAGAGAGACAAAAAGGCAAATCTAGAGAGATTAGTGGCTATCTGAGGCAGGGATGGGAAGGAGATTAAGTATAATGGATGTGAGGGAACTTTCAGTGGCAGAATTGTCTTAAAACTGGATTCTAGCGACAGTTGCACAACTCCGTGAACATATGAAAAATCATTGAGTTGTACATGTTTTATGGTATTTAAACTAAACTTCAATAAAGCTGTTAAAAATCACATTTAGAAAAATAGGAAACTTGCTTTACATAATATATTTAATTAGTACTCTTTACGAAAAACTGATGGCAATGAAATAAATAAAAAATACAAAGAAGCAAAACACATGATTTTAGCATGAGTTAACAAAATAATAATTGAATTTGGGATATGATTACCTAAGAGATATAAACAACTTCAATAAGGGACCAGAGAAACAACAAAATTACAAAAAAAAAAATCTTTAAAGGTAGGAAATACGAAAAAAATGCTAAAACTACTGAAATTATTTGACCTAAGAAAAGAAACAGTAGCTCAATCAAGGGCCATTAAGTCATGATAGCAAAATCACATTTTTCAAGTTATAATCCATATTAGTTCTACTTTTTTTTACATAGGAAAAAATCATTTTAAGTCTACTAACTTACCCATATAGATAGGAGTCCCACATGTGGTCTGCAGCGTGACTTCACTTCTACCTTGCTTCTTCACCGCTAAGCCAAAATCAGTCACCTACGAAGAGAAATTCAGGCTAGTCACCTGTTTTCCTGTCCAAGAGCTCACCATTCTGAAGACAGGACTTGCACTGAATTCAAAGGTTCTTGTAGGAGGACTTTACTTGTATTACTAAAAAGGACCTTGCTTTTCCCTCCCCACCCACTTCTCTGTGTGGAGAAGAAAGTTGGTAAAGAGAAGCTTGGTTTCTCAGATCTTGAGAGAATATCCATGATTTGATTGCTCACGCCTGCTAATTAAATTCACCAGTTCAACATAGGAATTTATATCTTGAAAGAAAGCATTTAACTTTTTTCAGGTTAAAAAAAAAGTTCTTTCTTTGTAAAATACATGCTGGCCTTAGTATATTTATCTACTTTTCTGATATTCAAGTTATATTCCAGTTTAAATTGCTGTTATAAATGCAAATCATTTTCCTTGTCAGTACTCACTGAAACTCCTCTTTTTTATAACTATGTGTAATCGGTAAACACTACCTTTTCTTTACTATATTTCCTTTGTGTTTCTAGAGTATACTAATTTAAATAATTATTACACTATTAAAAACTAGGAGAAGCAAATTAAGAGGAAAAAAACCACAACAACACAGTATTAACTACAAACACACTGGAGGCCTACTGCTGCATCTGTAGTCTTTCTGCTCAGTTCTAAATCTAGGTCATTAAATATTTGTTTATTAAATATTCAGTATGTGCCCTTGGTCTTGTCTCCCAAATTGAAACACCCTTGGGCTGAAAGCAGAAAAACAAGCACATTTATTGATCATACAACCAAATATAGGCTCTTGGTCCACAGACACTGAACGCAAAGTTCCAGTGCCTTATGGGGTAAGAAAATGTTCCTATTAACAAGTGATATCACTATTTTTTTTTAAATAGATGGATCATTTTCTCCAGGAGTTTTCATAAATATCCCACTTGGAGCATTATGATACACATCTTTCTCTACAGAAAATCTATACAGATATCAAATACACAAATGGTTTCACAATCCAGTTTAGTTCTTCGGAGAACATCTGTTCCTTTACTCACCAAATACTGAGCACATACTATGTTTTAAGCACTATTCCAGGTACCAAGTGAATAAGACACACACAGTTCCTGACCTCATGGAGTTTACAATGGAACTATTCAAGAACATTTACTGGGGAAACCAAGAATGCTATCAAGCCTATTTGTATTATGTATGAATTTAGCTTCTGCAACAGAGTGAGTTACAGACAACATTTTATTCCTAAATTAACACATTCATATATTTTGAAAGCAGACACTATTAAAGTGCTAAGTGATAAATAATGTATCTTATCATTTATTTGACATTAAGAAACACTTAATTTGAATAAAATCTTCAAGAATAAACACTTGGCACATTAATTGTGCTTAGAACATAAATATTAATACTCAGGAAAATTTTCAATGAGAAACGCAGACTTTAGCATTAATTTAGTATTAAAAGCACAACCAAGGTGTGTTTTTCTCTAAACCTATAACACATTTACATCAAATTACCAGGCATAATTTTGAAATTAATTAGAATTCAGAGCATCTGTTTGCTTGCTATTAAGTAATGATTTAGAACTATCCAAATGAATATGTACTTGAAAAAACACATTCAATAGCACCACTTAACTTGTAAAATTATTCTTGTCAGTTACAACCTCCTTTGAGAATTTTTTATTTTTTAGCACAAGCCGCTTATTTTCTGTCTGCTCAAACGCTACCAAAATGTATCTAAAAAGATGTACTTTGCTACTTTGCTATAAAACTGTTTATAGGCAAATATTTATTGTAAAATTATTCTTGTCAGTTACAACCTCCTTTGAGAATTTTTTATTTTTTAGCACAAGCCACTTATTTTCTGTCTGCTCAAACGCTACCAAAATGTATCTAAAAAGATGTACTTTGCTACTTTGCTATAAAACTGTTTATAGGCAAATATTTACCACCATTTCTAATCTCTTACCTTTATGTTTAAGTTCATTTCATTGTTAGCATCAATAAAGCTGCTTTTAACCATTATGTTTTCCAGTTTTAGATCTCTATGCACTATATCTACCAAGAAAATAAATGACAAACGAAATGAAAAATAGAAAAATAATTAGAAGGGATATAAGTAGAACAAATAAAATATATTTGACAAATTACTATCCACTGTTGAAAAATTTGAGGGGAGCTAAGTGTAATTCTGCTCGATCCTATTCTCTTATTTACAAAGCCCTTTCCCCACATTTGTAATCTTAAGGAGCCATTTTCTTTGACGCCCTTATCTCAACCCATTCCCCTCCTGCCCCAACCAGCTGCTCTTCACAATGAGTGGTCTGGTGAGTGTGGAGGAGTATCCTATACAAGGTTAGGTATTCCTAGGAGGAAGGAGACAATCTTAGTCACAAACCCAGTAAGGTTTCCCATATCCTTAGGTCTTCGAATAGAGGATTACTTCTTTACTTCTATGCATATGTTACTGTCAACATGAACATTTTAACACACTGTAACTTGGCTACATGTTTACAAAATACACTTATTTCAGTTTATTTTTCTACAAGACCAACACGTTTTTCCTATTCTTTATATGTTAAAAAAAAAAAAAAAACGCCCTTGAGACACAAAATCTCCAGTTGAACATGTCAGAGTTCAGACAGGATTTGTATACACATGCATATAATCATGTACCAAACACTTTCGTTGCAAATAACTGATTCAGTTCATATTCATAGCAATCATTTCCCTAGACTTAAAAAGTTATATGTATAATTGCTGGAAAAACGTAGTTGAATGACCCCTGGACTGGCAATCATGCCTAATCATTTATAGTTCCTTTACACCATTCCCAGACTTTGCTTTGGAATTTTTATTGTTTCTCTTGCTTTGCTTGTCCTTTCTTACATAAATACTACACAGTTTTAACTAATGTATCTTTATATCTAGGCAAGGCAAGTCTCCTTGCTGCCTCCATTGTTCTTTTTCATTGTTGTTTAGCCCATTCTCACTCATTTTAGAATAATCTTATCAAGTACCATAAAAAATGTGGTTAAGATTTTGTTTGGACTTACACTGCATTTACAGCTTAATATGGGAAGACTGACATTAGCATAATATTAAGACCTTGCAAAAATTGTTTTCCTCTGCCTGGAAAGCCCTCACTTTTTTGTATGAGTTTGTATTCCTCAGATCAAATATTGCTTTTTCTGTTAATTCCTTCCTGACTTAATACTTCTGAGCTACTTTATTGGCTCTCAGGTACAGAAATTATGTTAACTTAAAATTTGTTCTCCATACTCCATCTCCCACCAGCCTGAATTTCTTGAGGGGCAGGGACCTCGTCTTTTACTCTTTGTAACTCTAGGACCAATCACAGTGCAGTAGGTGCTCAGGAAATATCTGCTGAATGGGTCACTGGATTTCAGTGCCAGCTCTGCCACACCAAACTGTGTCACTGCACCTCTCTGGAACAAAGTTTTTTTCTCATCCACAAAATGAGAAGGTTCTAAAGTCACATGTAAGCCAAACTAATCTGGAAGAAAAAAGGGAGGAGCATGAAGAAGAGGAGCAGCAGTAACACTGAAGAATAGTAAAGCAATTAGAATAATTAGAATAATTTTTAAATGTGGTTTTAAAGTATTGCGAAACTACTCTGCATGAAACGATATTGGTGGATAAATGTCTTCATGCATTTGTCAAAACCCATAAAGTCACACCGCCAAGAGTGAACCCTAATGTAAACTAATGACTTTGAGAGATCGTGCTGTGTCACTGTAGTTCATCAGTTGTAACAAATGTACCACTCTGGTGTGGGATTTTGATAGTAGGAGAGGTTTTGCATATGCAGGAGCAGAGGTATATGGAAACTCTGTACCTTCTGCTCAATTTTGCTGTGAAGCTAAAACTGCTCTAAAAACAAAATCTACAAAGACAAAAAAACAAAGAAAAGCCCAGAATATATAAATTATTTTTTATTGGTTATGAATATTCATGAGATACAAATCTGACTGTCACCCCTCATGCCTATGATGTGACGGTCAGATTCATACTGGTCCTTTGTCGGATGTGTATTTTGCAAATATTTTCTCCCACTCTGTTGGTTGTCTTTTAGCTCTGTTAATTGTTTCTTTTAGATTTCTAAACATACTTAATTTTTATTTATTTATTTATATTTATTTTAATACTTTTTTTTCTTTATTTATTGTGAATATTCTTGAGATACAAAGTTAATTATCACCCCTCATGCCCGTGACATGAGGGCCAGATCCATATTGGAAGCATACCCATTACTAGAAATTGCATTTGTACCCCGTGTACCCCACCTAATAATCCCCAACCTCCCTCCCCTACCCCTTCCCCCCCCACTCCACTTTGTAGCCCAAGAAATATTCTCTCCTTCTGCAAGTCCAACACTCTACTGTGGTCTTTCCTTCCTTCCTTCTTTCTCTCTTAGCTCCCACATATGTGTGAGTACATGTGGTATTTATCTCTCTGTGCTTTGCTTATTTCACTCAAAATAAGTTTCTCCAGGCTCATCCATCTTGTTGCAAATGGGAGTACTTCATTCTTTTTTATGGCAGAGTAGTATTCCATGGTGTATATTTACCACAGTTACCTTATCCAATCATTAATCAATGGACATTTAGGTTGGTTCCATGTCTCGGCTATTGTAAACAGAGCTGCAATGAGCATGCGAGTGCAGGTGTCCCTTCGACATGATGATTTCCATTCCTCTGAGTATATACCCAGAAGTGAGATTGCTGGATCGTATGGAAGATCTATCTGTAGTTGTTTGAGAAACCTCCATACTATTTTCAATAGTGGTTGTGCTAATTTACAGTCCCACCAACACTGTGGGAGTGTTCCCTTCTCTCCACACCCTCACCAGCATTTGTTATTCACCATCTTTTTCATTATAGCCAGTCTAACTGGGGTGAGGTGGCATCTCAACATAGTTTTAATTTGCATTTCCCTGGTGACTAGTGATGTTGAGCATTTTTTCATTTACCTGTTGGCCATTTGTATGTCTTCCTTTGAAAAATATCTATTCAGCTCCTTTGCCCATTTTTTAATTGGGTTTTTTTTTTTTACTGTATAATTGCTTGAGTTCCTTGTATATTATGGATATTAATCCCTTGTCGGATGCATAGTTAACAAAAATTTTCTCCCACTCTGTAGGTTGTCGTTTCACTCTGTTGATTATTTCCTTTGTTGTGCAGAAGCTTTTTAATTTGATATAGTGCCATCTGTTTATTTTTTCCTTTACTGCTTGTACTTTCAGGCTCATGTTCATAAAGTCTGTGCCCAGACCTAGTTGCTGAAGTATTTCACCTATATTTTCCCTTAGTAATGTTACAGTTTCAGGTCTTATACTTAAGTCTTTAATAC